GTACACAAACAAAAAAAAAGAACTGTTATTGGCGGGAAATTCAAACCAATCCACAAAAAAATATATTTTGGTCACTCCAACGGACTTTTTGTCAGACAAGAGCATGAAAGTCTGTAAAGAACTTGAGATTGACCTTTTAGATTGTTTAGGAACGTAAAAACCAACTAGTGGAGCTTTAAACTTTGAACCAAAAGCAGGTACTGGCGTGTTTTTATTTACTACCAGTTAAGTTAGTACTAGTTTTGGTACCTTTTGTTACTATTTTACGACACCTAATTCTGACCGAACAACCCCAAAAACTTTATGAACACGAATTTGGCGCCAATTTATAACTTTGTTGGCTCAAACTTTCCAAAAAGTGCCTAACAACTTCGTTTTTGGCATGACACTGTCGTTTATCACATAATCATGAAGTATCTATGATTTTTCTGCCTACTAAGTTTCATTGACAGATCTTTGAATAACCAAAAGTTATTATAAGTAGTGAAATGTTAAAACAAAAAGGACCTTTTGTTAACAGTTTCTATTGAATAGCCAGAATTTTTGATAAATTTAAAGCAGTCAAATGCTTACATATGTATTTTCAATCAATTCAAAGTAAACGTATTTTAACGTTCGCCAAACCATTTTCGATGATACCAGCTTGTTTTGATTAACTAGACTGTGCTGTAAGCACCATTAACAGGTAAACTACAATTAACAGGAAAGAAACAATTCCTCTAACTCATCAAATTCATACAAATTTGCGGACATATTTTCAATTTGAAACTTAAAGTTTTGAAGGATTGTATTTAAAGATATATTTTATCCAATGAGCATCCTAAATTATCATTAAAATATTAGTGCTCTTATTCTGTCGGATGGTATCACTAACAATTCAGGTTGTTTTACTTTGACTCGGATTTTTTAAAGATAATTGCGTAAATATTTAATGATAAAGAACGAACTCAGTTTTCTTTTCGAGGCTACATTTGCAAAAAAAAAATTAAAAATTTTTTATAAAGAAACGAGTATACAACATCATATTTGATAAATTATGTTTTGTCCACACTGTTACGTCGACAAAAGGAAAAATAAAAAATACTGGCCTTATATAGCTCAAAACACTTTGAAAAAGAAACTACGATATGTTCAACAACTGATGCAGTCCTAATTTTATTAGCAGAATGAATAGAGAACGGTTCATTTGCAGTTTCGGTTAATGTGGTGACTATTTTTTCTGCACCGACGATGATGAGCCTAAAATTATCGCAGATATGAAAGTAACATTTCTCCAAAGCAAAGTTTAGGACTAGACCTGCATTTATGTGAAACCTGTTTTTTGCATCAGTATGGGTTATGTGAAACCCAAGACAATTTTCCATGTAGGCGCCGTATGAAAACAATATTGAACACAAACAAGATGAAGAAAACTTAAGTGCGGGGAAACTCAAACCATTATGGAAAAAGTTCAAGATAATATCATTCCGTTTGTTGGAGTGATATTATCTTGATTTTTTTCCATTATGGTTTGAATTTACACCCCGATAACTTTTCTTCCTTTTGTTTGTGTTCAATATAGTTTTCATACGATGCTTTCATGGAAAAATTTCTTGAGTTTCACACAACCCATACTGATGCAAAAAACAGGTTTCACATAAATGCAGGGCAAGTCCCAAAATTTGGCTTGGAGAATATTTACTTTCATATCTGTGGTATTTTTAGGCTCATCATCCTCGGATCATAAAAAAATTGTCGGTGCTTTTGCCTGACGGAAGCATAACAATCTGAAAAAACTTGACAATGACGTTTTGGATCAATTCGGCGAGCTAAAACCAACTAGTGCAGCTGTAAATTTTGAAATTTAAGCAGTATTTTTGCATGCCAAAAAGCTCTACTGTTTGTTACTAGCTTACGTCACAATAAACAAAAGGTATTCTGCAATGAGGGCGGTGTTGACACCAATATATACTACCTTTTAGTCAAAATCTTCCAAAAAGGAACCAGCTTCGTATTCAGCCCATTTTTCATTACAAAAAAGATCTTTTCAAAGTTTTTGAGTGATACTGGCCATCAAGAACTTTCTTTCTCCTTTGCTGAACAACTAATTGTAATTAATTGTATGATTAAAGGTATTGACTAAAAAACGTTGACTAATTTGAATAAATTTTGAAGAAAAATTTTTGTTTATATTTCCACACTTTTTGTATCATTACTCTGAAAACCTCATTCCTTGCAACCACGGGGCATAGTGGTTTCTACTTCTAATTTCAACGCAAATTTATATTATTGGAGTTTTGACATATGATAGATAAAACAGCTTACAAGGATTTTGAAAAAATTTTCTTGGCGATTCAGTCAAAGCCCGTCACGGAGAAGCTCAGAGGTCTCTTTTTCATTATAGTTTTCAATCTAGTAACGAAAAGGGTTATAGGCCGAAAGTAGCCGTAATTTATGAATAAACAAATTTAAAAATGATTTGTATCAGATTGGTTTCAATCAAGAAATCAAGGCAAGTCTTAGAATGAGATAGTTTTTCAGAAGAGATATCCCGGAAAGTGTTTAACTTATGATTTGAAATATAAAATAGTGCTTCTCAGAACGCACTACAGCTAAAAAAATATTTTGTCCAAAATTTCTTCACCAAGCCTCGTCTAACGGCAACCAAAATCTTTGGACGAACCAACGAGCAGAAATTTTGGGATGGACCTTATGAAACAATATATGCATCCCCCCTCAGGGATTCGACCCCCTGCCGGTTCAAAGGGGCCCCCTTTGTACTTTTATGATGATATTCCATCATAAATATAATTGGTCTATAAATGCTAGTTTAGAACTGGTTCCATATGTAAGTTTCTAATAGCTAATTTTAACTTTTTGTTCATAATAAAAAATGCGCTTTTTGAGCTTTTATTGAAGCTTACAAATAGTTCATTTTATACGGCGCAATAGTTATTCAACATTA